ATTTTTGGCTATTGCTACAAATATACCCCAGCGACTTAAGACTGGTTTTGTGGTCCAGGGTCACATATATATTCCTCCATTTTTTTCTTCCAAGCAGTCTGACCTCAGCGAGGCATTATTTACAATGCTAATTATTATTATTAATAATAATAATAATAATAATAATAATAATAATAATTCAGTCTAATTTTCTGCACAAAAAAAAAAAAAAAAAAGAGGTAATACTGCAAATACAGAATTTGAACAATTCTGTTGTCATAAGTTAATAGGCATAGACATTTGGTCAAAAAAGCTTTAGATATCTGGAAATCAGGTTACATTATAAATGCAACTGCATGACTTAAAATTCTCAATGGACACACACTAGTGTCATGGACAGGAGCGGAGCGGCTCTTCTGCCGAGTGTGTGCAGTCATTTGGGCAGTGACGTCACTTCGGAACAGGCTCTTCAAAAAATGCTGAGGAGAGAAATGATAAGCGAGAATATTGTCACTGTGTTTTAACAATGACAACAACCTTTGTAATTCCAAATCAACAATAGATAATTACAATAAATACATTAGATTCAAGATCTGTTAACATTAGTAAAAGAAATTATAGCTGCACATTACGTTTCACAGCCAACAGTGTGTTTCCATGGCAACAAGCCACTGACGTGACAGTGTAAGGGTGGCTCTCATCGAGCTGCACTGCCTTTGGTTTCCCAGAATCCTCTTCTTTCCGTCCAAGCCGACCACGTGCCCCTTTACCCCAGGTGTACACTTCCCCCTCTGCCGAATCAAGGAGCAGAACATTTACTCACAATTCTGAACATCATTTGGCTGAATAACATCTTTGTGCTTCTGTTTCTTTGCATGTCAGATCCTGTGAGAATCATGAATGAACAAAGACAACATGAAACAATAAAGGTCTTCAGAGTCTTCCAAGTCTCTAGGACACAGTCGGGGTTACACGCCGACCTTTAGCCACGTCACATTAATTAACCTACCTGCCCCCACTAAAGCACATTCTGTGACTGAAGCAGTTAATGGCGTGATAGCAGCCTTGTCTGAACTGCATTGCCATTCATTTAAGTGCTGTTGTTTGTTATAGTTTGGTTGCCAGATCAAATTTCATCCCAAAATCTAAAGAAAGAAAGAAGAAAAGTAATATACAAGTTAAAATTACATTTTCCCTTGCTTTTATGCCCATTTTTTAGAACCATTAAATATTAAAACCATTAAATATTTTTGTATTGTGGCAGTATTTTCCTCCAAATTGTCATAAGCATAAATATATATTATATTACATTATAATAAAGAATATTATCTATTTTAAATACTTTGATTTAAGACCTTTTTGAATGATAGCATTACTTTTCTCCAAATTGTAATAAACATACATAGCTATATTATATTATCTATCTTAAATACTTAGCTTTTTTTGCCTATTTTTAAGACCATTACATTTCTTTGTATTGTGATGTTATTTTCCTCCAATTGTCATTAACATACATTTATTATATTATATTATATTATATTATATTATATTATAACTTTGTTTTTTGCCTATTTTTAGGACTATTCAATTTGTATTTTATGAAATTTGTACTGTGACATTATTTTCCTCTAGTTGCCATTAACAATGCAAAAAATTGAGTATTTTTCAAGGTAATTGCTTTTTTAATGTAACCTTATCAAGTAAACTAAAACAAGAACATAAAATTCTCAATTTTCTTTTTTCCCCTCTAAATCATGTAGGCCTATTTATACATGTATTTAGTTACTGCAATATATATAATAGTAAATAGTACAGACGTACAGTACCTGGTTTGTTTTTTTCCAGGTTTTTGTTAAATGTATACTGTTAGTAATAAAAAAAACAAAGCAATACAGAGACGAGAGTCATGAAGAATAACAGGTAGAAAAAAAAAAAAAAAAACATTGTATTTTGTAGATTTGTTTGTACCATTTTCTTTTTTGCTATTTGTTTTTACAATAAGATAAAACACTATATTACAATAAACACTGAAAAAAAAATCAGGCTCATCATGAATGCATTACAATAATGATATATTTTGTCATGAAAATAATTTTACACCGTTTTAAACTAAAAATAGACTTCATTTTCATTTCTTTTGATTTTGGGGTGAAATGTGACTTGTTTTGTGAGATTCACTTGTACACATGTCTTGTTTACCTGCTCCAATAGCCAGAGTGAATGCGTCGCCACACGCTGCCATGGTGATCCCCTGCAGTCCTGACACTTGATAGGGCACTCGACTGCTTCGGCGGGAACTGCAGCCAAGCTGCCCATGCTGGTTACTGCCGAAGGTGAAACACTGACCTTTCTCTGCATTTAGGGCACATATTCATAGTCTGTGAGTCGGTCCTCAGATTAAGCCAAAAACAGCACACTGAACTGTAAACAGTGTAAATGAAGTTCTCTGACCTGTGACTGCAACAGAGTGTGCTGTGCCGATGTCTATACACACAATCTCCTCAACATTGAGAGGAGCCGACTGGATGGGCTGGAACGTGTGGACCTCCTCCACCGGACAGTGAGACGGGGGCTCCTCTGCACCAGAGACCTTATCCAAACCCAGCTTGTTAAACCTGCATTTAAGATGGTTATTTATTCATTCAAATATCACTTTAGCAGCCCTATGTGAAAAAGAAGTGCACTTAATTGGAATGAATGTGCACTTGTAATGTACTTCAATTCGTAAAAGTATATTGGAGCGAAAAAGTATAAGTATAAAGGTAATTGCAGATGATATAATATTAATAATGAAATAAAAGGACGCTTAAGTGCACTTAAAGAGAGTACAATTTCATGACTATATTTGTATAGTTCAGCCAAGAATGAAAATTCTGTCATTAATTACTAACCCTCATGTCGTTTCAAACCCGTAAGACCTTCGTTCATCTTCGGAACACAAATTAGGATATTTTGGATGAAATCTGAGAGCTTTCTGACCCTGCATAGACAGCAAGGGAACTACCACGGTCAAGGCCCAGAAAGGTAGTAAGGACATCGTTACAATAGTCCATGTGACATCAGTGGTTCAACCGTAATGTTATGAAGCTACAAGATACTTTGTGCGCAAAGAAAACAAAAATAACTTCATTCAACAATTTCTTCTCTTCCGTGTCAGTCAGAATCACTGATGTCACATGGACTATTTTAACGATGTCCTTACAGCCTTTTTGGGCCTTGAACGTGTCAGTTGTGTTGCTGTCTATGCTGGGCCAGAAAGCTCTCGGATTTCATCAAAAATATCTTATTTGTTTTCCGAAGACGAACGAAGGTCTTACGAGTTTGAAATGACATGAGGGTGAGTAATTAATCACAGAATTTTCATTTTTGGGTGAACCTTAAGTA